AGTTACTTTCTCTGTGATCTAAACATCCACCCACGTGTTTGCCATGCATGGCGACTCGTGAAGGGGAGGAGAGGATGGTGGTTGAGTGGTGTCTGGGGCACTGCAACACACCACTTTGGCCTTGAATTCCTGTAGACAGGCGGCCTTGGGGTGGCCCCCCTAGGGTCAGTCGGCTGATTGGTTTCTCCAATCAAGGAGTTTCGGCAGTTCGAAGGATCTCCACTCGTCAAGATGGAATTATGGTGCCAACCTCAGTTTTAATTTTGACGTTTTCATCACCACGTCCACCTGCCGCCATTAAAGCAGGTTATTTGAACTGTAAGGTACGGCCCTATATTCCCAACCCTCTCCGATGTTTTCAGTGTCAGCAGTTCGATCACTCAAAGACATCTTGTCGTGGTTTTGTGACGTGTGCTCGTTGTAGTGGCAAGGACCATGACTCCTACGAGTGCAAAATGGACCCTCACTGTGTTAATTGTAGTGGTTCCCACCCCTCCTACTTTAGGTTTTGCCCTAGGTGGGTGGAGGAGAAAGAGGTACAGCATTTGAAGACTCTAAATAACATCTCTTATCCTGAGGCTTGGAAGCTATTGTTCCCTCCTACATCGTGGACATATGCCTCTGCACTCCCACTGTAGACGGACCTTTCCGTGCCTCCATCTGAGTCTTTTTCATGCCATGTGCGGGGCCTTCTGCCCTCCATGGATAATAGAGTTGATCAGTCTACATCTACTCCAATCTCTGTCCCCACTGTTCTTTCCAGTTACTGCCTGGGTCAACCTTCTCGGGCACCAGCCTCTGGTGTCCGTGCGGCTCCTTCTTTGGCCCCTAAATGCAGGATGATCATTCGATCACGTGCTTAGTCATTGGATTCTCACTCTGATGACAGAGATCAGCCCGCTCGATCAAGGGCAAGATCCATGGAGATCGATCGACCTCCATCTAGTAAAGAAAAACGTAGTGATCGTAAACTGAAGGGTTCTCCACCCTGTTCTCCTAAACCTACATAAAAATGGCCACTTTGATACAGTGGAACTGTCGAGGTTTTCGTTCGAATCTCGATGACATTAAGGCCTTGATTGACTCCTATCATCCCACGTGTCTCTCCTTACAGGAAACATTTCTGAAACCTGCTGATACAGTCAACCTTCGGCAGTTTTTCTTGTACCGGAATGACAGGTTGTGTAATGGGCGGGTACACGGAGGGGTAGCACTGCTGGTCGACCAGCATGTGCCCTCCTTATCCATTTCCCTCGTTACACCCTTGGAGGCTGTAGCCATATGTGTTTCCTTGGGTTGTGCCATCACTATTTGTTCTCTCTACCTGTCTCCTGGGGAGACTTATGATCAATCAGACCTTAATGCTCTCGTTGACCAGTTGCCACCTCCCTTTTTACTTTTGGGAGACTTAAATGGACACAACCCCCTCTGGGGTGGTGCTGATATTGATGGGAGGGGTCGTTCCATAGAGCGCATGCTCTCGGATCACAACCTTTCTCTCTTCAATACTGGAACATACACTTACTTTCATGCACCTAGTCAGTCTTTTACTGCCATTGATCTCTCAATTTGCTCCCCTGCACTTTTCACTCGTTTTTCTTGGATGGTCGATGCCACCCAACCCGAGTGCCACGGTGGAAGCTGGACCAGGCTGACTGGCTATCTTTCACCTCTCTCTCTGAACTTGATCCTGCCTTCGTCTGTCTACCATCAATAGACAATTGTGTGGTGGTAGTGATTGACTGTATTGTCCAGGCGGCTGTTTATTCTATTCCTAAGACCTCGACATGTTTTCCACGGTATCCTCGTCCATGGTGGAGTCCTGCATGCCAGGAGGCATGGAAGGCTCAAAAACGGGCCTGGGATACCTTTCGACGGTATCCCACTCTTTCTAACCGCATTGTTTATCAGCGGGCCCATGCCCATGCTCGACAGGTTCGATGTCAAAGCCAAAAGGAGTCTTGGATTAAGTTCACTACTAGCATCTCTTCTACCACTAGTTCCAAAACTGTATGGGACAAGATTCAGAGAGTCACTGGGAGGTATGCTTTCCATTCCCTTTCCATCTTGCTCTCCAATGGCTTGGAAGTTGCTGATATCCAGAGCATTGCTGATGCTCTCATCCAGAGTTTTTCTCATGCATCTAACACTTCTGTTTCTTCCCCTGCCTTCTTGGCCATAAAGTCTTGGGCAGAGCGATCACCTCTTTCTTTTCAGGCTGATCGTCTCTATGATTATAATCGTCCCTTTACAGTGGTGGTACTCAAACTTGCTCTTCATCGATCTGGCAGTACATCGGTCGGACCTGATGATGTTCATTATGAGATGTTGCGCCATCTCTGTCCTGCCTCTCTTGTTATTCTTTTGGTTATTTTTTACCGGATCTGGCAGGAGCATATTTTTCCAGATGCTATTGTCCTCCCTTTCTCCAAATCTGGGAAGGATCCCAAGATTCCTTTTAATTATCGTCCCATCGCTTTGAGTAGTTGTCTTTGTAAGGTTCTAGAGAGGATGGTTAATGCTTGTCTTGTTTGGTTCCTGAAATCAAACATGATCCTCTCACCCACCCAATGTGGGTTCCGTCGACAGCGATCCACCATGGACCATCTGATTCGACTTGAATCCTCGATCAGGGAAGCCTTTCTCAAGAGAGAACACCTTGTTTCTGTGTTCTTCGATCTTGAGAAGGCTTATGACACTACGTGGAGGTATGGAATTTTGCAGGACCTCCACTCCTATGGTTTGTGTGGCCATTTACCCATTTTTATCCACAATTTTTTACAGAACAGGCGATTTCAAGTCCGTGTGGGTTCCACCCTTTCCCGTTCCTTCCCACAGAAATTTAGAGTCCCTCAGGGCTGTGTCTTGAGTGTCACACTTTTTAGTGTTAAAATTAATGCCATCACTACAAATCTTCCTCCGACTGTTGCAAATGGGCTCTATGTCGACGACTTCCACATCTCGTGCCAGTTGTCGAACATGACGTTTATTGAGCGGCAACTTGAGACTGCCCTCAATCAGTTGTTGACATGGACCACTGCAAATGGTTTTAAATTCTCTTTTTCCAAAACCATTTACATGCATTTTTGCCGCCAACAGGGTCTCCACCCCGATCCCGAGCTCCGTCTCAGTGATATAGTCATTCGTGTGGTCCCTGAGGCAAAGTTCTTGGGGCTTATCTTTGACCGTAGCTTAGCTTCATTCCACACATCAAGCGGCTGTGTGTCAAGTGTGCAAGGGCTCTGAACATCCTCCGTGTCCTCTCTTCCAGCTCTTGGGGAGTGGATCGATGTTCTATGCTCTGGATCTATCATGCTTTGATACGATCCAAACTGAACTATGGGTCTTTGGTCTATGGTTCCGCCAGGACCTCGGCCCTGAAGATGCTGGACCCCATTCACCATCTGGAACTTTGACTTTGCAACGGGGCTTTTCGCGCTTATCCAGTCCAGAGTCTGTACACTGAGACCCACGAACCTCTTCTTCACCATTGTCATTTGCAACTTTTTCTACAATATGCTACCAAGCTTCGATCCTTACCACAGCATCCCTCCTGGGTTTGTCTCTTTCTTCCAGAACAGATGATCTGCAATTCCTCTCTTTGGCCTTCTTATCTGAGCACAACTGGCTGAATTGGGTCTGGCATTGGATGACGTTGCTGTCCCCAATGATCAGCCCATTCTGCCATGGCTTATTACCATCCTCTCCTGTGACTTTTCCTTTAGTCATCTAAGGAAGGCGGTTACTCCCAATTGGAAGTACCATCTTCTTTTTGCTGTACATCTTTTGAGCCATCCTTCTCTTCCTATTTACACAGATGGTTTGAAATCAGGTGACTGTATGCTCTGCCATGGTTTGCTGTGGCTCAGTAGTTGCTCGCAGGATCCCTCTACAGTTTCTGTGTTCACTGCTGAGTTGTGTGCTATTTCTCTTGCTCTGGGTCATGTAGAAGTTATGCAGTACAGCAATTGTACTATTTACACTGATTCTCTTAGCTCTCTACAGGCCCTGGAATCACTTAACGTTAGTTCCTACCCTGTTCTCGTCGATATTCTAAAAGACTTGCCAATTTTTCTGTATCTTCTGTTTCCATCCAGTTTTTCTGGATACCTGCCCATGTCAGTTTTTGTGGGAACATTCTCGTTAACACTGCAGCTAAGTCCATCTGCTCTGGTGCCGTCACGGCTGTGCTTGTCCCATACATGGACTACGGTCCTGTATTCAAGGTGTGGTTTTGCGTCAGTTGGCAGTCGACTTGGGGTGAGCAACGTCATAACAAGCTTTTCCAGATCAAACCTTTTGTTGCTCTTTGGCCATCTTGCTTCTGTAAGGATCGGAAGGAGGAAGTTGGCTTGGCATGGCTATGCATTGGTCACAGTTTTTTAATTCTCGTTTTCTTTTATCTGGTATTGACCCACCAATATGTAGCCTTTATGACACTCAAGTCACAATAGCCCACATTTTACTGTCGTGCCATTGTTATGACCATGAGTGCCAGCACCATTTTAGACACGTGTTTTGTAAGGGTTTACCCCTGATGTTGGACAGTGTCATTGGCAGTGGTGACACTATCTAACTTGATTGTATTTTAAATTTTTTAAGAACAATTGGTCTTTTTAATTCTA